AAGTTCTTTACATTTTATTCAAACTCGTTAGAATTACTTTTCTTAAGCTATTAATTATAGTTATTTTTATCTGTTTTAATTTAGTTTTAACTATTGTTATCATTTCATTTTCATTTAAATCTGCAATTTAGATAGAGTTTGCATTTGAGTTTAGCAAGCCAATTAAATAGTTCAACTATCCTAGTGGGATCGATACTGAGGTTAAGGAAAATCATATATTACTTGAAACGATGCGTATACTTGGGTAGTACCTCTGGTGTGAGAAATTATTATTTATTTTTCATATCATTACATTTATTCACATTAGCTGCTAAATATAATTTAGGTTAAATTTTTGACAATATTTTGGAGATTAAAAATACATGTAATTGCTGGCTGGGTCAACGGTCGACATCTTACCGTCATGGCCACCATCGTTCGAAGAGATTTAGGCTACCCTCACTTCAAATCGGGTTGAATTGATCGTCAATTACTTTAGGAGTATTCAGCTATATGGGCAAGACACAGATACTGTTCAGTTCAATGGTGGGACTCCTGGAGAGCGGATCGATATAGAGGTATGCTCGCAATTGGAGAAAATTCTCCCAATGCTTCGGGAAGTAGTGCAACTGACAGATTCAAAAACACGTACGCCTTCACCAAAAAGGGGAAGCACATCATCCTATTTCCTTCGACGAAACCCGAAATCACAGGAGCTCTTACCAGCAAAGCAACATTGGAGGGATCAATTTTGGTGACAATAGAGGATAATAGGATTGGGACACCAGCTCTAGACACGAGACAAACATGACATAAAGCATTTCAAGATGTCACGGTCGACATCTTACCATCATGGTCACCATCATTCAAAGAGATTTAGGCTACCCTCAGTTCAAATCGGGGTTGAATTGGTCGTCGATTACTTTGGGAGTATTCAGCTGTATGGGCGAGACACGCAGACTCAATTTAGTTTAGTGGTGTGACTCCTGGAGAGCGGATCGATCTGGAGGTGTACTCGCAAGTGGAGAAAACTACCCCAATGCTTTGGGAAACAGTTCAGTTGACAGTGATCCAGGTGCTGCTAGAATTGACGACGAGAAACCAGAAGCTTTGACGAATGAGGTCGAAGCTCCCCCAACCCCGGGAGACTGATGCGGGGTTGTGAGGAGCCGGCAGAACCTGTAGGAAGGAAGGCGGGATGAACAATAATGGAGGAAGTTCGGTCTAACCTTCTGCTGAATGAACCAGACAACCTTCTAATAGGGGTGGCAGACTGACTGGACGGAAGGTCGATTGAACCAGCTTGGAGGAAGTTCCGGTCCAGCCTCCTGCTAGACCGGGCGACCATTCAATAAGGGCACGACTACTACCCCATCACCCATTCCTTTTTAGTTTTTCCCCATATTCCCTCTCTATTTATATGTATGTTTGTTGGAATTTGGGTTATGTTTTTGTGTATATTCTATTTCAGATTCAGTGTGGAGTCTTCTTCCCCTTGCTAGGGTTGTATCCGACAATAGGTGATGTTATGGTTGTATCATACTTCGAGGTGGTGTTTTATTCTCTTCAATTTTCCTTCCTATCCTTTTCCTTACCCTCTTTAGCTACTGACCTGCACCCCTATCTCTTCTTCAACCCTCAACCGCCAACCTCCCTCTCTTCCTACCTATCTGGCCACTGGCCTGCACCTCTCCATCCACTGAATTTGCCCTCAACCAGCCACATACCTTCCTTGTCAGTGTCGTCCACCTGCAGTCCCCATCCCTGCCTTTCCAGCCTTTCTGGGCAGCCGCCAACCTATGCTTCTCCTTTCCCCCTAATCCTAGCCACTGACCTTCATACCCTCCATTCTCCACCCATCTATTCTACATCCCATACCACCACCACTTTCAACCACCTCGTCGACACCCCCGCTGCCATCAGATTCTCTTACCTGGGCTTAATTGGCGAATGGTGCTTGTTGTGTTTTCATTTCAGTTTGAGTTATGTTTGTAACTCTAATCATTTGCTTGATAAAATCTGCTTCTGTTACTGTGGGTTTGATTGATCCAGTATCAGCAAGAGTCGAAGAAATGGGGAATAATGTATTGTTACGTTATTATTATTTTTATTTTTAAAAAATTTACATAGGCGGCACACAATTCTTATTTATTTACATATCTCACGCCCGAACTTTCATATTTACGTACATAGTACTTTGCTGCTATGAACTTCTTCATAAAATAGTGTATTTCACTTTTAAAAAGTGGTAATAGTGATATTAAAGATTTGAGTGCTACATTTGTAAGTATGAAAGTTTAGGTGTGAGATATATAAGGATTGTGTGTTATGTATGTAAGTGCCCCATGCCCCTTCTTTTTTCTCTTCAGGTAAAAATGATATTGCTTTCTATCACATTTTATCCTACATTTTTCCTACTTAACATCTTTGTAAGTCATGACACCTTAACATGAGAATCTATACTATGCAAAATTGAGAATGAAAATTTTCACCTTAGAATTAGTATGATATAATTGGCAGAAAGAATCAATTCAATTTTCTTAATTATTTAGGTAATTCATAAATACATTTTATGCATATTTAAGTAAACGGATTATTATTTGTTAAACAGAAAGAAAGGAGGAGAATTCGTTAAGCTCTAATAAATAGTTGAGATGAAGCTATCTGTGATGTTGATTATCATAATAGTAAATTAAAACTTCAATTAACTGGATCAATTTTATCAAGTAAAATTAGATGCTTGAGGACCTAAAGAGGCCGAAGCTTTAGTATAAAAACTTGATACCACTTAAACGTGGAGTTTGTGCATATGAAACACAGCTCGAATTAGTACTAAAACAAAACAAAAACGCATGAGCTTACAATAGAAAATAATTATATGATTATAGATAAAAGGATATATTGAATGAAGTTAAAAGGTATAAAATTTAAATATTAAGGGCCCATTTGTCATTACTTTTGTTTGGTGTCTTCATTTTTGTTTTTTTCTGTTGTTTTTTAAACTATGTTGGGTTGGTATAATTTTTTATATGTTTTTATTTTTTATTTTTGCTTTAAAAAAAAGTCAACTTGTTTTTCAAAATTCAGAAAAACCAACTAGCTCAGTCAAATATATTTTAATTTAAATAAAACATGAGCAAAAGAAAATAAAAATAAAAATAATGAAAAAAAAATAGAAGTAATCCCAAACAGTTCTCAAGCGTAACACGCATAAACATAGTAGTGGATCAATAATAACATGGAATTACAGAAACTAGGAAGAAAGAAAACTACATAAATGTTTGATAACAAAATGTCTGATAAAAAGATGAAAAAATCCTCACATATGTTGGAAAACAGAGCAAAAGATAACACCCCAGAAGCCATTGAAGTGCTATTATTGGAACAACGATGAGAGTTGTATGACCTTTATATTCTATATCCAAGCAGATCAGTTTTGAAATTTTTTGAAATGCCTTTTCACCGCAAATGGAGATTGGATTTGATATGAACCAAAACCTTTATTATTCTTCCTTGTCATTATTAGCCTTGCTCTGAACAGTTTTGGTTCAACGATATGAGGTGACATAAATTTTGTGCGAATCATTTTGCCAAACTTTGAGACATTTTTTGCCTCCCTTTTTTTTTCTTCTAATCCTTTCTTAATTATATCAATCTTTCTAGTTTTATATTATCATTTATTACTCTAATCTTTCTAATTTTATTACTCTTGATTAATAATTCTATAATTTTTTGCAGCACTCGTCTTGTGTTGTAAGCCAAAAAAAGAGTGCGAGTGCGGATGAGAAGGTGAATTTGAGATGAGTGAGGATTCACTCACCCAAATCTATGGTGGTTCGCTTGCCCGTAATAGTTGAGGAAATCACCACCCAAGAGGACTCATTCGCCCATTATATTAGAGAATAACTAGCCCAAATGAGAGAGTGTCATACTCGGGGTCCCTTAAAAAATCTTTCTTGTCTAATTTTTTAAAAGCATTAAATATGACTCTTTTGTTAATCGTTTGAGGTGGTTCGTGTTGGGTAGTTAGCAATTGGAAAGCAAAATTGCAAGAAGTGGCCGCTAAGTGACAAGTGATTGTTGGAAAGCACAATAATTATCGTTAAATGCCATCCATTATTCCTTTGATGGAAGAAACTGAAATGCCCGCCATCATGAAGGACCAATGCAATATTAAAAATATTCTAGTTGAGCATTAAGAAAGTGACTAAATACAAATTTGAGGAGGTAAGAAAAAGTATAGTTGTAACTAGATGGGAAGAATAAGTGGAATTCACCTACGACTTTGGGAACTTGCTTACACATAAGAATTGGGGAATCATTCAACAAAGGGGACTCACTTATTGCTTTGGAGATTCACTCAACCAAACTTTAATCTCTTGCTCTGCCATTCATATGCTCGTCCCAAAACTCGTGATGTTTAAGCCTTTTATAGCATCAAATAAGAGGTACTTGGTGATTGGGAAGTACAATTTAAGCAAATGATTAATGAGTGATATTTGAAAGTTGGGAAGAAAAATGGTATGCATACATTTTCTTCAATTGACTATCAATAATTTCTTGACGCCAAATACATTCGGATCCTTGCTGAAAAATCATTCATGCTTCTAAGATTCAATAATGTTCTCCCTGTCAATATCTTTATTCTTTTATATAATTGGTCTAAGCTATTTTTACTTAATGATTGCTTATCTTCCAACAATTTAGATTCACAATTACCAAATGTCACATCTAAGAAAATTTACACCACTTTGTTTTTGTTTTCCCTAAGAAATTTTAAGCTCTATATATTCTTAAACTTTTCTTAAAATCTATTCCAGCTTTATTGAGATTATTGTTTATAATGGAAATGTGCTTCATCGACTTCATCTCAGGCAATAAAAAGCTCCACCCCACTCTTTTGCTAGCATAACCATTTGAAGCAAAATTTAAATTGTTGCCAGTGAATTAGAGCTGTTCTAGATTAGTTATCATGCAGAATGTCTTTTTTTCATAAATTTAAACTATTTATGTTGTTTCAGGTACTGCGCAGGGAAGCCAAGCTTGTTTGAACTTCTGGTTGTATGGTTTTTTTTTACTAAACTTGCAAGTATTTAGCTGTGGAAAACCTCTTGATGTGCTCCAAAAATTTCGGCTTGCCTGATTTGATTTTTCTCTTCCTTATCTGATCAGTATTTTTTAATGATGAAGTTGCCAAGGCTTGAGGAATTCACAAAGTTTTTAATTTGTGACATCTAGATATCAATATTGGGATCTATTGTATACATCAATGTCATAATTTCCATTCTCAGTTGACTTTTACCTAATATATTTGCCATTATGGTACCCTACTGAAGGGTTCCGTCTACATCTTTTTGAAATTCATGTTTTTGGTATATGAATTTAATTGCTCATCTCTATTTTGTTCTCTTAGGGGAACTATTGAAAGATATTTGTGAGCTTGTTGGGGGTTTAGACCTGTTTCTGATTGTTTGCGTATACATTTCTCTCTTGTTGGCCTAAGTGGCCCTTCGATAGTTGGACAGACTTTCTGTTAATTGACGGTTCTTCGATCGGTCTGCGGTATTCAGTCGGTTGGCTTTATGTTGTAGTTTTTTTTCAGATTGATGATTCTCGTCTTTTCCTTTCTAATCTAGATCATTTGTTATCCTCGAAATTCATTCTACACGCTCGCACGCACACGCACACATATATAGGTAAGGAGCACTTTGGGATCAACTTGTTAGATCGTGAGTTGGCTCATTTAAAAAAATTTTAAATTTAAAATATACTCAAAAGTATATTAAATTCAAGATTTTCTAAATATTAAAAATGTTTTAAAAAATGATATTTTATATTCAATATCAAGTGATTTATTATTATTTATCTTTAAATTGTTCATTTTTTATTATTTTAATATAAATTTAGCTTAAATTAATATTATTTTCTCTTTTATAATAAATAAGTTGGCTCGTGTGTTGTGTCACGGACTAAGTAAACTTAAGCTTGAGCTCAAACTCGGACTCGATTAATTAATCAAGCTAAAACTCAAATCGATAGTGGCTCAAGCTCAGCTCGACTCGTTTACACTTCTAGAATTGACGGTGGCAAGTTGTGGTGGTTCATGGTTGTAATTATTTTTAAAACACTTGATATACTTAAAAATTATTTTTTATTATTTTAAAAAAGTAATTCAATTGATTAGAAAATATTTAAAAAAATAATAATGAGCATATATACTTTTTAAAACTTCAAAAAAAAAACAAAAATTATCACAAAAAGATAGGGGTGGATGATGTACAATTACCCAATAAATTCTTTTGTATAATACTTTAAGGAAACATTAACATAAAAATATTTAATTCAAAATTCAACAACATGTCTATTCCATTCTCAACAATAGAAATAAATTATCTTCATCAAAGAAGCCCCAATAAATAAGTCTAATATTAGATATTGTTACATTATTCCAATTACTATAAGTAATGAAATTGTACCCAATATGATAACATTAGCTTTTATGAAGTTTTGTCCCACAGTAATGCTGCTTCTAGATGTTTCTGCAAAAAAAAGAAGGATTAAAATGTAAACATCATAATTAGTGCCTAAACTTCAATTATGGGGAAAATTAAGCATCAATTTGTGATTTTTTTTCTTACCTGCGGTCTTTATTTTTGGGTTATTTCTGAGTTATTTCGGTATTATTGAAAATAACTCAGAAATAACTCCCGCTGCACTCTATGATAAAAGTCAGCACAGAAAGATTTTTGGAGAAGAAGAGATAGAGAGAGAAGGAGAGAATCTTAATTAATTTACCATCACAGAGCTCGAAATTAGGCTTGAGTCCACAATTGGCGCTGAGCTTTGCAGCATCAAGAGTGCTGGCTTTCATTGCGGTCAATATATTATCATTTCTGAAGACAGTGCAGAAGCACCTTGGATTAAAGTTCATCATGTCTTTGAGATGCGTGCAGCAGGATGATGGAGGATTGGAGGAATGCATGTAGTACTGACAAGGAAGGATTCTCTCCAGACATGGCAGCACAGACGTGGACCCTTCTGCAGAATGTTGTATCTGCTGCATGGCGAGGAAGAAGATGAAGAGGAGGGCTGTGCTTGCGTTCAGCTTCATGGCCATGGCTTCCTTTGGTTTTAGGGCTTTGGTTGGTTTTATATATTTTGTGTGCTAGGGTTCTTTATGTGAGGTGAAGGATGATTATTTATTTATTTATTTTTTATTTTGGGGAAAAAGGAGAGGTTGGGAGTTTTTTGTGTAATTATAGGGTGGGGTATGTGTGGGGTTGGAATGGAAGGGAGTCATGCATGGGAAGGAGTTTGTGGTGAAGGAATCATGTGATGTTGGTGGATTTAAAAATAGAGAGTTTTTTTTAGGAGGAGGTTTTCATTTACTTTGATCCTTTTAGGGGGGAATAATTGAATAAATATTGATATTTAAAATTGCTATTTCATATTGATATATAAAAAGCTATTGAATCAAGCATGGATCTTGATTAAGGGGGTAAACGAGTAGAGTTGAGCTCGAGCAATACTTGGCTTAGGCTCGAGCTTGATTGATTCTATCGAGTTCGGGCTCGAGTTAGAAAGTTTGTGAATTTGAGCCGGCTTGTTTATTATAAAAGAGAGGAAATAATATTGATTTAATTTAATGTTATAATAAAATGGGAAATAAAATGAGCAATTAGGAGAAAAATAATGAGAAAACTCTTAATATTAAATATAAAATAATATTTTTTTAAAAAAGTATACTTTAAAGTATATTTTAAATTAATATTTTCTTAAATGAGCGAGTGCACGAGCTTACAAGTTGAGTCGGGGCAAGCATGAGCTTGGCTTGTTAGCTCATGGAGCTCAGTTCACGAGCCAATTATTGAGCCGAGCTCAAGCCAGGTTACGAAGGTCCTTGACTCACTTACATCTCTAATCTTGATGATATTATTTAATTGAATGTCTAAATGAATCAGACACAATGATGCTAAAAGTTATTAGATCTAAGTTTAAATAAACTAAAATTAAGCAATTGAAATGTGGTTGAAAGTTTAAGGAGATTAAGTGAAGATCAAACAATATCTGATTATTGCCTACTTATGTCAAAATTGTGCTTCTGAATGAGAAAAGTTCAACAAGATCAAGGTCTCTCAATTTCAATGCTATTAAACACTTCAATATTGAATGATAGTTTATCATCAAAAGAAGTGATACATACTATCAAATAAAGTGTTTACGGAATTCTTTCACAAAAACTAAAATAAATTTCTCAAACAGTATAAGTACACCCCTATTATCCACATCAAGAGGACCTATATTTGCAATTGAAGAATAAAATAATTGAAAAATTTTAGAGTCATATCCAATAATCAATCTAATATTACAATAAAAAGAGTTTTCGTTGCACTTTATATAGACATCCACAGCCGTTAAAACCCTTATAATGTTCTTTTCAATTGATTTTAAATCGCTACAATTACTAGAACTGCAAAGACAAATTTTCTAATCTTTCATTGTGTTGTTAGTCGGAGAAAGAAATCTCTAAAATAACAAGTAGAATTGACACCCTCTTATTATATTGGGTTGATTAACTTTTGCACATGTTAGCATACAAGTTAATATAGATTAAGTTTTCCAGTTTCCATTATTCTAAATGTCAAAAGATAAAGATATTGTGCAAGAAGTGATTTATGAGTGGAAACCCACTTCATATAAGTCATGCTTAATGTTTTCTCATGATTCTTCAAGTTGTCCAAAAAATCATTTCAAAAACTTGTGACTATTGGTCCTACTTTTAGTGGAAGGAATAGGAATAAAGCTAATAATAGCAATTTCAGAAATAATATAAGTTCTAGTTCTACTTTGGCTCTTGTTTCACATAATTTAGTTGCTATTCCCGCTATTCTTTATTCAGTTTTGCTTATGGGTAATGTTTTAGATAATCATATGATTTTAAATCATGTTTTACCTTTAATAATTAATAATGATACTGTGAATCCTACTTCAAATCATAATATTTTTGCTGATAAACAATTATGTGGAGGGTGATGATGTATGTGAAGTTGTTTATGATATGAATAATTCTAGTACACATGTTTCTATGGTAATGCCTACTAGTTCCACAATTATTGTTAATAATATTAACAACAATATTACAGTAGATTGTGGATCTCATATTCTACTAAAAGATATGATCCTAGATTTTCTTCAAATTCTTTTTTTAAAGTTTTGAATTCCCTTTCTTCGGATCATCGTCCTATTATCAAGAATTTGAGAAATGCTACTATACTCAATTGTAGATTTATGTACAATAGCTTTCTTAGTTCTTACCCTAGATTTTATGACATTCCTTCTAAGACTTGGCTCATTAATGTAAAATGTGATCATATTTTCTTTTTTTTTATGTATAAAACTTTCGTGTGTTAAGATAACTTTGAGAAATCAGGATTGGAAGTCCTCTAGTTTTCTTTAAAGGCATATTACTAATACTAATATTTATGATTATAATTTGATCAAGAAAAAATTAAATGTTCTTGGATTTCAAAAGGTGGAGAAGATGTTAAATTTCTTTAGCAAAAAGGCTAACTATAAAAGAAACTATAATTTTATATATATAAAAAAAATTTGGTTAATAATAAGTAAATAATCAATAGGGTATTTTTAAAGAAGTTAAATCATATTTTCCTAAATTTATTAATAGTTGTGATAAGAGATCTAATTACTATGATCATTTATTTCATGTGGACTTTTTATAATAATGACAAATTTGATTCTCTCATTCACAATTTGTCTGATAATGATATTCAAAAACCTTTCTTTTCCATTAGTTATAATAACGCTCTTAGGCTAGATGGTTGCACTTCTAGATTTTTTAAAGACACTTGGGTTTTTACTTTTTGGATCTATTAATGCATTAAATATTATTTTAAAATTGGTATATTTCTTTGTAGAATTAAACATATTGTTATTATTATCCTTTTTGAAACAAGTGATGCTAAGTGCATAAATGGTTGTAGATCTATTTCTCTTTGTAATATAATTTATAAAAGTATAGTGATTTTACTTATTGACTTCCGTAATATGTTCTTTCTAAAATTATCTATTTGGCTCAATGAGTGTTTATAGAAGATGTTGGCATTGCTGATAGAATCATATTAGCAAACAAACTCTTTTATGACTTTAACTCTAATTATTCTTCTAAAATGTTTTTGTGCTAAAAGTAATCTTATGAAATTTTTTGATAAAGTTAACAGAAATTTTTTTTATAATCATAAGCTTTGCTTGGGGTTTCCTCTTATTTTAATTAATGTCTAACAACTTGTATTGATATTATTAAATTTTCTAATATTTTAAATAGTTAAATGAATTATTATTTTTCTCCTTCTTATTGCTTGATACAATGCTGTCCATTTTCTTCGTATATTTTAACAATTATCTTGGATTCTTTTTCTTCTTTATTAGATTCTTATGATAATGACATGATTGTTTGCATTAATAGAAGCAATGAGACTATGTCCCATTTAATTTATGTTAACAATCTCTTTATTTTTGGAAATTTTGATAAAGATTCCTTTAAGCATACTGTTTCTATTCTGATTGTCTATAGAAAAACTTCTGATTTTCAAATTAACATCTCTAGATCTACTATTTGTTTTCTCAACTCGATGGATTATTTGTTTCAACGTCAATTTAATTTTAATAGTTGTTTTACTTTAAAACTCTTACTTCAGAATTATCTTGATGTTATTATTAAACACTAAAAAGTTGTTGCTTATGATCACCAAGTTTTTATGGATAACCTTCATTCTCATTTGGCCGATTGGAAACAAAAGATTTTATCTATGATTGATAAAATTTAATTAGTTTAATTCATCATTTGGAGTTATTTATGTTATTGGTTTCATTCTTCTACTTTGCTTAAAAGTTTTCATAAGAAAGTTATTACTATGATTAATAATTTTATCAATCCCAATGATAAAATAAAAATATGCATGTCATTTGTTGGAATAAAATTATTTTACCTATACATATTGGTAGCCTTGATTTACTAGCTTCGTATGTTATTAATATTATGTGTAAAGTTAAGACCATCAGGAATATTTACATTACAAATTCATTTTTATCAAATTGGTGCTTAAATCACTATGATTCGATTCAGTTATTTCTAACAAATATATCATTATTTAGAAAAATATTATTAAATTTGCTTTGAGAATTAATACTTCTAATTCTCTCAAGATTAATTTTAATAGTAAGAATATTTCTATTAATTATGATCTTCAACTTAATAGTTTTTCTTTATTTGATAAATTAGGAGATTCTATTTTTTTAGTTTAGTTTTCCCAAAAATACTAAACTTTGTGATTTTATTGATAATAGTGATTGGGTTTTGGATGTCAATGCTTCTGCCTATTCTCATTTTATCCAAGACATTTACAATATTTACATCTCCACTTGTATTACTTGTATCTTTGGAATGACAAGAACATGTATTCTCATAAATCTATTTATCACTTAATCTATGAAAGTTATCTTGGTGTTATTTGGTATAAACTTATTTGCTTTAAGAGGTGTTTTCATATAATTTGTGATTTAAGGCTAAAAATTGCTTGAAATGACCTTGAAACATATGATATTCTTATCACTAGAAATATCACGGTTAATTCTAATTGTATTTTATGCTCTAATTTTGTTGAATCTCACAATTACTTATTTTTTCAACGTCCTTTCTCTCACAATCTCTCGAAAAATGAATTCATAATGGAATTTTTTTTCCAAGTAATTTTTTTCACGTGTTTTATTACTCTAAAAATATTACTCGTAAAACCTATAAAAAAATTCATCTTTTAGATGCTCAAGCCTCTGCATACGACATTTCCATTAGGAGAAGCAACATAACTTTTAATAAAAAAATATATTCATGCGTACTTTCTTATATATAAAATTCATTGGATGATTAAAAAAAGAGCAGAAGGTGGAAGTTTAAGAAAGTTATCCCATTATAATTGAAGATTGCTTATAGGTTTTTTGTTTCATATCAAAATTGCTTGATTTCAATTCCTTTATGATTTGCTTATAATTTTAAATTATTATCTACAACATTATATTGATTTGATTTGATATTCTCTTGATATTTTTATCTTAATTATTTTTAAATTTATTTTTTCTATAAGCCTTACCTCTTTTAAGGTTGTGAATTGTCTTGTCATTTTCTTAATTTTTTGTGGTTGCTTTGATTTGATCAGATTTTTCGTTGACTATCTTTCCATCCTATACTTCTCTGTATAATTTGATTATTGTAGATATACTATCATCCTTTTATTTTATTGAATTGATACCATCAGATATACTCTTGATATTCATATTCATTGATTTGATGAGTTTTTCTCTTGATCTTTTCTTTTTAAGGCCGAGTTATTAAATTGAGCAATGATGAATTCCAACAATTGCTTTAAAATTCAATATGCTATCAAATTTTTTTTGGTTTAAAAATATGTTATTTGAAAGATATTTAAAAAACTTTGTTAGGTTAATTTATCTTAGCTTATTATTATTATTATTAATGATTTTCTATTTTTCTTCTTATGCTTTATCTCTAGTGTTTCATAATTTTATTTATTTTAGCTTTCAATGATAATTTTTATGATATTTCTCTTGAGAGTCTTATTTTTTGGTGCTCAGCTTTTTATGAAGTATGAGTACGTAGTAGAGTTTTTATTTGCTTGTCTTGAAGGGTTATTTTTAATATAATTTTGGTGGTGATATTAGTACAGACTTGTCATGTATGTTTATATAATTTGGTGCAATTATTGAGGTCAGTTTTCATTTGGATATGCTTTTGGAAAAACTAGTTAGAATTTTTGCTTTATTAGTTTAGCATTGGTATGAGGTAAATTTGCATATTTTCCTTCATTAAATATCATTTTTTATTCATATTTATCATGATTTTATGCTTGTGGATGGTTCTTTGTAGTATTTGATAGGTGATAAGTGTTAAACACACAAACAATATCAAAACATGTGATATAGGGTTGAACAACGTGGCCACGCCAGAACTAGTGTGACTACGCTTGTTTCAAGTGTGACGACACCGTCGAACAACAAGATCTCATTTTAGCATGTATTTAATGCTTATTTTGACGAAAGCTTTAAAAGGGAAGCTGTGGCAACATCTTAACTATATTGAGAGACTTGTGGAGTCTCTCTAGCAGATTTTTTAGGGTTTGAATGTGAACCCTAAAGTTCTATTCTTCTTCCTTAAAGGAGAGAACTTCTAGAGTGGTTTTTCTTTCTCTTTCTCATTTCATGTTATTTATTGAGGTTTTGATGAGTTGTGAGAGGAGAGTTTGAGTGCATTCATAAGAGACAAAGACATCAAGTAACTTGTATTGAACAGAGAGAATCACATTATATTGCAATGATTGATTGGCTCGGCAAGAGTTGTATGTACCTTTTGGGTTGTTCTTCTTTTTATTACAACAATAACAAGTATTGGTACTTTCTTTTTTCATGAATTGTAAGTAACATTGCTTTCATATAGGGCTGTAAACGAGTCGAGCTTGAGCGACCTCAGGCTTGGCTCGTGTTCGACTTGTTCGAAATAGCTCGTGTTCGAAATCGGCTCGTGAACAGTGTGTCCGTGTTCGGCTCAATTTAAATATTTGTGTTCGTGTTCGGCTCGAAATTAGCTCGTTAAACTACAATTGAGAAAAATAGATGTAATGTGTGGGATTTGAACCTGGATTAAATATATACAAAAGAAGACACTAACCATATTGCCACATGAGGTGTTATGATTTAAACTTATACATAAATATGTATAATATATTATTATATAAATAATATATGTAATATATTGTTATATAAAAAGTTATATAATTTTTTTTTCGAGCCATTTCGACCCGAACAAAAGCGAACAAACTGTTGTTTGTGTTCGGCTCATTTTCATTTCG